CTCTCTCCCCCTCCCTCCCCTCTCTCCCTCCTCCCCCTCTCTCCAATTTACTTTCTAAATAAACTGTATTTTCCAGTCTAAAAATAAAACAAAACATATTTTCTGAGAAGTGAGCTATTTTTAAAAATTAAGATTTGTTTGTTTAAAATTTATAGGAATATCTTTGTTTCTTTAGGTAAAGGAAGAAACAAACAGATTTACATCACAGATAGTGATGAGATTTCACATATTGTTAATCGTATTGCTCCTCAGGTAAATATCACTAGTTTTATAGTTTGTACTAAAACAGTGAAAAATGTGCCCCTAAGTTCTTCTTTAGTTCTTTAGATGAAAAATATTTGTATTTTATCATCTCTTTTCCAGAAATAAGGAAGCAAAATTAATTTCACCTTTTCTACTTTTGAAATGCATGTTTTGAAAAAAGGAATATATTGTAAAATTGATAATATATATTTTCTTAATCACATATCTTAAGTTTTTAAGGATGATGATTTTTAAGTAGAACGTTGTATTTATTTTGTCTTTAATGTGTTTAACAAATATGGCATTTTAAAGCCACAAAAAAATAGAAAAAGGCAGTTAATACAATTTTAAACTTTTATGGTCTTTTCATGATTGATATTTGTTTACTGCCTATAGTACAATTTTCTCCCCATTCAAACTGCTTGTCTTAATACTTGTTGACTTATAAGATCATCAAGAAACACTTATAGAAATACAAAGAGTGCTGGATTTAATTGAGTCCTCATTTTCCTGTTCTGTGTGACCCTAGGCAAGTCACTTCATCACTCACAACATTGGTTCAGCCATAAACTAGAATTATTATTTGTCTTACTCTCTTCTTTGGATAATTATGAAGCTTAAATTAGATAAAAATTATTTGTAAACTGAAGAGCACTATAAATGTTACTGTAATAGAACCATCTTGAAAAATTTTTTCCTTCAAATTTTGTACTGCTTAAGTGAAATAGAAATATAAATTTAAGTAAATTATTTGACACAAAGAACTCTAGTAGTTCTAATATTATTATATGACTCTTATTAAGAAGCATAGGTGCCTTACATGAAACCGTTCTGAGCTTCTATACTTCCTGTTCTCTCTTTTCTTATTTAACAACATTTAAATCCAGAGAATATTCTATTTCTGCTTAGTGTCTTCTCTGAAGAAGTGTGGTATTTTTTCTTTCTTATTTTTATTTTTATTTTTTTGAGTTGGAGTCTCACTCCGTTGTCCAGGCTGGAGTGCAGTGGCACGCTCACAGCAACCACAGCCTCTACCTGCTGGGCTCAGGCTATTCCTCTGCCTCAGCCTTCCAAGTAGCTGGAACTACAGGTGCGCACCACCCGTCATGCCTGGCTAGTTTTTTTATTTATTGTAGAGACAAGGTCTCGCCAAGTTGCCCAAGCTAGTCTCAAACCCCTGGGCTCAGGGATTTTTTCTTAACATGCCCTTGTATGGTTAACCACTGGTCCAAAAGATGGTTTGAGGAGTCACCAGCATCCAGGAAAAAGAGACAGAAAATAAAGTTTTTCTTAGCAGCTATAAAATTACAGCTAGCATAGTCATAACAACTGAAATATGGAGAACATAGCACTTATAACTAGTATACAAATTTGCCACTAGCTCTACATTTCATGTTTAGCATGTCATGGAAATTCATTTTACTTACAGTTCATTAGTTAAATGGCATTTGTGCGATTCTACTACATACTCTATAAATTAACAATGGATCTTCATTAATTGTGGGTTTCACATGAAAGAAGTATGATAAAATTTGTTTGGGCCAGCCAACCTAAATAGTGATAGAAAGATAGCTGAGTAAATTTTTGGACCCTTTACCTAAATGGACTGGAAATAATATCTCACATAAAGAAATGGCAAGAGTATGCAAGTGGTAACTTGTATAAAAGAAAAAATACAGTGAAATTAGTTGCTTTAAAATGTTACCCTCTTAAACTGAGCACTTTTAATGCATATGAATCTTTGGCAGGATAAAGCTCTTTGTAAATATCTTGTCATGTTCTCAGAATGACAAATATTCATGTTTATTTTTGGAGAAGTTATCTATTTTTCTTTTCATGTTTTCAGTGATAGCATTTTTTAAAAATATACACTTGTATTTTAATTGGACAGTCATTTGACTTTCTGCAGAAATATTTTGTATATAATATTGTTTAAGATGGTATGTATCTTTCCATCTTCTTTCTTTCTTTCTTTCTTTCTTTCTTTCTTTCTTTCTTTCTTTCTTTCTTTCTTTTTTTTTTTTTTAAAGATAGGGTCTCACTCTTTCACCCAGGCTGGAGCGCAGTGGCACAATTATAGCTCACTGCAAGCTTGAACTCCTGGGCTCAAGCAATTCTCCTACCTTAGCTTCCAAGGTAGCTAGAATTACAGGTGTGTGCCCCCATGCACACCTAATTTTTAAATTTTTTTTTAATAGAGATGGAGACTCTTACTATATTATTTAGGTTGGTCTTAAACTCCTGGTCTCGAGTGATTCTCCCACCTTGGCATGCAAAGTGCTGGAATTACAGGTGTGAGCCATTGTGCCCAGCCCTTTCCACCATTTATTCCAACTTTATACAGAATAAAGTAATGCATTTAGATCCCCTATACAGTTTGTGGATTGTAGTTGGGAATCAATAAATTATGTAATTATTAGTGAAATATGGAAAATATAGCACTTATAACTAGTATACAAACATTCATAGGACTCATGTATATATAAATTTGTCATAATTTAATTGAGTGAATTTTAAGTTACTTGGTAAATGACAGAGTCCATAATTGTTAAAAATGTTATTTTCCTTAAATTTAAGATTATTGTTGAAAATAAAAGGAAAATGTATTTTGAGTCCAAAAGTGAAATTATTGATTTTCTTGAGTATTTGCAAAGCTAAAGCCAACTAGGTTCGAGTGGACATTAAGAAAATTGCTTGTTGACTTGTGGATTTGAGTTGTGAGGGTATTTTCACCTAAACCTTCTAGTAAAAAAAATGTAAACTGACATCTTTATGTCCAGTCTTGTACTAGATGCTGAGCAATCAAGACTCCATGCCTCCAACCAGTCTATAATCTAATGATAAAATTATTTTTACTTGGTGTGATAATTATTTATGTTTATTTTAGGTACTATAAAATAGAGTAAAAAATGATTAATCGATTTGATTTGTTGGTTTAGTTAATGTTTAAAGCTCATTCACTAATTTTCTGTGTAAAATAAAGTAACTGAAAGACATAGCAAGATATTCAGGTCTAAAATGACTTTTTCATAGTTTTATCCTGGTTAAACTTTTTCTGCTTTCTCTACATTTTTTTTTAAATTTTTTATTCTTGCCTCATTCTTAGTTCTAACCATGCTCTTATGTCTAACTCAGTCCTGACCTTAATTCTCAGTGCTCTCAATTTAAGTCAACATGAGTTGTTCAATTTTAGATAAAGATGATAATGAGGATGAGGAAAATTTGGAGAATCAGGTGATACAGATGGAATACCATAATAAATAATAAAGAATATATCTTTTTATTCTCAATTCTGATTATTTCTTTCATACAGTTTGTTTCTAATACTAATATTTTTATTAGGATCTTTAGGACAGTTGAAATAAGTCATTCAGCTTACTTTCAATAAAAACGTGCTTTTATTATTAAACATGCATTTGGTAAAGAATTCTTAAAACAGTAGTTTGTGAAAATAAGCAGTTTTTAATTCTGAATGTTTTCATTCTCTGAAACGCAAATGGATCACTTTTTGAATTTTAAAGATATAGGGTACAATTCAGGATTAGGTATACAGATGTTCATTATGCAGGTACCCTTGTTGATGAGGTCTGTCCCTCCCTCCCCTGGCAGTTTCCTTCAACTGCCAATCCCACCCCCTCTCCCCTGGCAGTTTCCCACTACTGCCAATCACTTTCTTGTAGTATTATGATAATTGTTCAAGGTCCGCTTAAGAGTGAGAACATATGGTACTCTGTTCTTTGTTTCTGTGCTAGATCACTGAATATGATCAACTCCAAATCCATCCAAGTTGCTGCAAAGTCCATACGTTTTTCTTTATGGCTGCATAATATTCCATTGTGTATATGTACCACATCTTTTTTATCCAGTCCAGCTTCGATGGGCAGCATGGTTGGTTCCATGTTTTTACTGTTGTGAGTAGAGCTGCAACAAACGTGTGTGCATTTATCTTTTTTGTAGAATGATTTGAGTTTCTCCGGGTGTGTTCCCAATAGGGGGATTACTGGGCCATATGGAAGATCAATTTTAAGTTCTTTCAGAAATCGCCACACAGTCTTCCCAAGAAGTTGCACTAGTTTGCATTCCCACCAGCAGTATAGAAGCTTCCTTTTTCTCTGCATCCTCTCCAGCATCTGTTGTTGTTTGTTTTATTAATGATGGCCATTCTTACTGGGGTTAAGTGGTATCTCATTGTGGTTTTAATTTGCATTTCTCTGATGATGAGTGAGGCTGAGCACTTTTTCATGTGTCTGTTGGCTGCCCGTATATTTTTATGTCTTGTTATTGCCATCTCCCAGCTTCTTATTTTGAGTTTGCTTGGTGACTGTTATCTCACCAGAATATATTGCTCTGGTAGTTTAAAGTAGTCATTTTTTAATTTTCTTCCTTTCCTTTTTTCACCTCTCTCTTCCTTTTTTTTTTTTTTTTTTCATTTGGGACGGTATTGTTATTACTTTACATCTCTTTTTCCTCCCCACCGCCTCCCCACCCCCCACCAAAGGATGAAAAACCAACAACAAATTCTATGCTGGGCGTGTGGATTGGTGAAACTGCTATTCCTTGTACTCCCAGTGTAGCAAAAGGAAAATCAAGAGCAAAAATCAGCTACACAAAGTAAGTTCAGACTTTTTGCCTTTTCTGAGATTCAGTGAAGCAAATATTTGTAAATAATATTGTTTTGGCTTTGTTAACATATCAAATTGGTTAATACAGTTACCTTAATTTTGATTTGTAAAATGTTGGAATTAAAATAATTATAAGTGTTAAGATTTTTTATTTTAGCATATCAAAATATGTTAAATAACAATTGAATATAACATCTCAGAACATTTCTTAGTTATAATCTTTTTATGTTGTTTAATAGGTTAAAAACACATAATCAAGAAGAAGAACTTATGAAGTTGGCTAAACAGTTTGATAAAAATATGGAAGAGCTAGATGTGAATCAAGAGCAAGACAAGAAGAATTACGATTTTATCCAGATGGTTTCAGAAAAAGAGACTTTAAATAATTATAAATATAATGTACAGATGGAGTCATTATGTAGTGTAGTTCCCAAAATAGATAATGCTGAAATAAAGAAGCCAATCAGAGGAAGCACCAAGATACCTGTGGTAGATGATCAAAATAGCAGTCAGAAGCCATTTGACCAAAATGCTGAAGCAGCCTTTAATGCCATTTTTGACGGTTCCACTCAGAAATGTAGTGGACAGTTAAGCCAAGAACTGTCAGATGCTGTTTTGAACACCAGTGATACTCCTTTTGAGAAGAAAAATGCTTTCATAGCAGAAACAGTCATTACTAATGAAACTCTGGTCACTGAAAAACTATTAAATGAAACCCTACGATCACTTTCTCCTCAAGTAGATACTCCCACAGTGACAAAATCATGTGTGACTTTCTGTGCTAAGGAGCTGGAAACTTCTAATAAGCACATTGATGCATTTACTACCAGTGATTTTGAGGATGATTGGGAAAACTTGCTAGGTAATGACCCTTTTGTTATGCAAAATATCGACATGCTTGAACTCTTGAGCCCTTCTAAAACAGCCCAGGTTACTGATCAAAAAAAAATTTTTACATTTAATAGTAAAAATGATCAAATTAAGTCAAGAGCAAATACAAGTCTAGATGCCAGGTTAATAGATTCAAAATTATTACAGGATCTTTCTTCAGAGACATATAACAGAGAATTAGTTGATGCTAGGGAGTATAGATTTTCACCAGTTCCAAATAAAAATAGATCAAATCAATTGCCATCCACTGGAAATATACTGAAATTTGAGAACTCTTTCAATAAAATTGTTATTCGAGACAAAATTCAAGATTGTGCAGTTGTATCCAATCTGACAAAAGTAAAGGAAGGTAGTCATACCAAATTTACTTCTATTGCAAATGATTCTGAAAAGAAGTCTGCTTTGAGCACAAGATACTCTAATGAGCAGAAAAAGAAACCCATTATCAGTCAGTCTATTAAAACACCTGTTAATATTGATCTTTTTGACTCTGCAGCTCTAGGTAATGAAACCAGTGTTAGTAACCCAAATCAGACTAATGCATCAAAATTAGGTTCTTTCTTTGATGACTGGAATGATCCATCATTTGCCAATGAAATTATTAAAGCATGTCATCAATTTGAAAATACCTGGGAAGCAGATGATATAGAGGATGATTTGTTGTACCAAGCATGTGATGATGTTGAAAGACTAACTCAGCAGCAAGGTATTAGAAAGGACAGTAAGACATCAGAAAGTATATGTGAGATCAATAATAATTCCAAACGTGGAGCCAAAAACATGTTAACTACATCTCAAAAAGGACCTCAAGTGATACAATCAGAGCTTATGAATCTGGGCAGCATTTCAGTGCAAACATCTTCCTTGACAGATAGCTCACAAATAGATAAAACAATGAAGGTGGAGAAAGGGGAAATGTTTGGAAATTCATTTTTAGGTGCTACAACAAATTTGACTATGTATTCTAAGAACTCAGATTGTCAGATTAATTATCAGCATGTCGCTTGGAGTAACACTGATGTTCCAGTACAAATGAATAGTTCCAAATCCATTCTTACAGGAAGTTCAAGTTTGAATGTGAATTTAGATCATATGAGCACAGAAATTGCTACTTCTAAGAAGAAATTGAATACTCAGCAACTATGCCATCATAAGGCCATAACAGGTGAACCTCAGCACAATCTGAACAAAACAGTTAGATTTTCGAAGTATACATTTACAAAGATGAAAAATCATCAGATACTTTCTCAGTTTAATCAAAATTGTACAACAGGCAATATGACTGATAACAAAATTACACAGGGTTTGGAGAAAAAGAAAACTTCCATCAGTCCATTACTAGGAGAGGCTGTTCGACAGGAATCTTTGGAGAACCTTTCTGAATCTTTTGAACAATCTTCAAAAGGTATCTATGAAATAGTTTTCTTTGAAAAGTGTCATCTTGAAAAACAGTAAAATAGTTCATTGTTTTGAGTACAAAGTAGCATATAAGGTAAAAAACTATTATGTTTAACTAGAATGTTTAAAGTGACTCTTGCAAATAATGACACTGCATTACATGAAGAGTAAATGGTTTATTTTTTCAAAAGATTATACTGAGTTCTTTCCCAGCACTTAATTCAGTGACTGGCATATGGTAGTTACCCAGTATATATTTGTTGAATGATTTTATTATTCAACAAATTATTTCCTGGAAAATCATACTTTTAGATATATATTACAATGTTAGTTTTAAGAGTGTATTTACTAAATATATCATTGTTTTAAAACTTGACTAATCTTACTCCAACTTTTAGCAGGACAGTGAGGTGAATAATACTCAAAAATTTAGAACATTCTAATTAAAACACCTTTGTTAATGTAATATCTGATATAAAACTGCTAGTTGTGATGGTTAAAATTATGATTTACTTATTTTATACAGCCTATCACTTCTGATTCTTCCAATTCTTGTCTCCAATTCTCCATTCCATCAGTAGGTTTCATTCTTTCTACCTCAAAAACTTTCTATGTCTGTTTTTCACACTTTCTACTGCTACCATAACCTTTATCCAAGCCAACATTTCTTGGCTAGACTACTGCAGTTCTTTTATCTGTCCTCTTCAATTCTTGTCTCCAAATAGCAGGATATTCTTTTAAAACCAGGTATGCATATGTGGTATTCTTATGCTTAAACAAACTTCCCTATCCTATTTCAAATAAAATCCAAACTTTATACTGTGGGCTACAAAGCTCCAGATGATCTCTCCGTAACCTGCCTTTTCTCTTTTTTCTTTACCTACTAAGCTTCGGCTACACCACTTTTTAGTTTCTCAAACAGATATGTTCTTTCCTTGTTCAGGAATGTAGACTATGCCATTCCTTTGGACTAAAATTACTACTTTTCAACATTTGACCCTCCCTCCACAATTTCTTACATCTCAATATAAGTATTAATTTCTCATGGTAGCCTTTCTTGAAGAGTCTGTAGTAGGTCTTTTACTTATTTATTTCTTTTATCACAAGTTGCAATTAAATATTTAGTAACTATTGTCTATTTGGTTGGCATTACTGCTACATCTTCCTGTTTAAGTGCCTTTTTTTTTAAACTTTACAGCAGTAATATGCTAGCTATTTTTTTTTAAAAAGAAAACAATATAGAATAATTTGAAGTAAAAAGCTAGTTCTGTTTCTCTTTTCTCACATCCATTTCTCAGGGGAAACCACCTTTAGCAGTTTGGTAGACATCATGTAGCATTTTCTATACGTATAAAAAGGTATGTGTAGGTGTATACATACAGATTTATTCAAATAGATAGAATTATACACTGTATACTTACTATTTGGCAGCTTGCTTTTGCCTTTACTTAATATATTATAGTTACTTTTTCCTGCTAGTATATGCAAATTTATTTCAGTCTTTGTTAATGAATACATGGTGTGTTATATGGATGTGCTATAATTTAACTGTTTGTCTTTGATGGTTTAGATTCATTGCAGTTTTTTTCAATTACAAACAATACTCCAGTGAATATCCTTCTACATAAATTTCTGCATACTTGTATGATTGTGTCTGTTAATTCCTAAAATTTATAAAAGAGAAAGTTTTATATTTTGATGGATATTGCCAATTTCTCTCCAAAAAAGTTATGCCAATTTATATTATCAATACTGGTAACGAATAATTCTCTGCATTATAGCCTAAGCTAGATATTTTGTAGATATTTTAAAACATTAAAAATTGTTGTCAGGACATAATAGTTTTAAATATTTAAATTTATATTAAAGTAAGTATATTGTAGCTAATTAAGCAATGTTCCAAGCATGAATTTGTTTACAGATATAGTTGACCCTTGAACAATGTGGAAGCTAGGGATCTTGATCCCCTGTGCAGTCAAAAATCTATGTATAACTTGATTTCACAACTTAACTACTAACATCCTACTGTTGACAGGAAGACTTACCAATAACATAAACCATTGAATAACACGTATTTTGTGTTATATGTGTCATATATTGTATTCATACAGTAAAGTAAGCTAGAGAAAAGAAAATGTTTTTAAAACCATAAGGAAAAGAAAATATATTTACTATTCATTAAATGGAAGTGATCATCATAAGGTCTTCATCCTTGTCATCTTCACGCTGACTAGGCTGAGGAGGAAGAAGAGGTGGGGATGGTCTTGCTGTCTCAGAGGTGGTGGAGGCACCAAAAAAAATCTGTGCATAAGTGGAACTGCACAATTCCGATCTGTGCTGTTCAGGGGTCAATCTCTGGAGTGTGTGAGTTTTCCCGAAACTCCCATCTGTATTTTTTATGGATAATTTGCTTTTTAGTATACCTTATCGATTTTTTTTAAATTTATGGATAGTATCTAATTTCTTAATATTAACCTTGTTGATGTTTTCTGTTGTATCTACTTCCTTTTACTTTGGTATGCTCTCCAGGGAATGCCTTTGAAACAAAACTCACTTAACTCCCTCATTGATTTAGGCAGGAGTTGGCAAACTATAGCCTGTCCAAATTCCAGCATGTGCCTGTTTTTATACAGTCAGCACACTGAAAATGATTTTACATTTTAAATGGTTGAAAAAAATCAAAAGGAAGGTAATATTTTATGACATTTGAAAATAATATAAAGTCCACATTTAATTATATATAAAGTTTCAATTTGAACACAGCACATTATTTGTTTATGTATTGCTCATGACTGTTCTTGTGCTACAGTTGCAACAAGAGACCACAAAAGTCAGCATATTTATACTTTCTGACCCTTTATGGAAAAGAAGAAAAAATGTGCTGACTCCTGCACTTTAAGGTCAAGATTAAGAAGAGCCGCTTTTGCTTAGTACCCTGTAATAGGTTGAGACTATGCTGTGTATTTTTATTATAGATTGAGTTAAAGGAAGGACTGATGGGGAAAATGGATTACTCCCTAAATCAGATTTTCATAGTATAACTTGATATCATTTGAAATTACTTTCTATATCTCCAAGCTAATTATAAGTCCAATTTTAGAAAGTTATATTCTTTTCTGCTGTTCTAGATTATTAACCTGTTTTCTATCCGTACAGTTAAATTGAATGTAAACTATGTACATATGTAATCTGAGTGTTTTTTTTTGTTTCTCAACTTTGAGACTGAAGTATTAGTTAATCAAGGTGATTATAAAATTTCTTCTAATGTCTTTATTTAAGGAAAAATAGGTTCAGTCTGTTAGATAACTAGTTTTGGAAATAAAAGTCCTCGGAATCATCTGGAGGAATTTGTTTAAAATATATGTATTTCTTACCCTCAATATCCATCCTCTCTCATTTCTGATTATACCAAAAAAGGGAGACAGATGATATATTTTAGAAAATGCCTCTTTTAGTTAACAAGAGAATGCCTTATAACAAATTCTGAATCTTTTTTAATATGTCAATATAAATAATATTTCTTATCTGACAATACTACGGATTCTTATTTCTTGAAAAGCATGTTTTATAACATAAGCAGTTTTACCAATAGCAGTTTACGTAAATATGTGTTGTGGTGATGGTCTTAAACTTAAAATATTATTTAAATGAGAAAATAGTTCCTAATATAAAACTCAATTTCAGTTAGTTTTCTGTTTACTAATAAAGACTATTTTCAAGTTTCTACAAAATACATGCTCCAAATAAAAATATAATCTGTTAGTGAGTCACAGGTAGCCAGTTTGACATGAGAGGTCTCATTTTATCACTCTAAAATATATTTCCTTAATGGATGAAATGAAGACTTTATATCTCTATAGAGAAAAAATAGATATGAATATTAATACATTCATATTACATTGTTGGTTTTTTTTTGGAGGGGGGATTTGGTTTTTTTGAGTTGGAGTCTCACTCTGTCACCCAGACTGGAGTGCAGTGGCCACTCCCAGCCACCACAGCCTCGAACTGCTGGGCTCCGGTGATCCTTCCGCCTCAGCCTTCCAAATAGCCGGAATTACAGTCATGCGCTACCACGTCCGGCTGATTTTTTGATTTATTGTAGAGATGAGGTCTCGCTGCCCAGGCGGGTCTCGAACCCGCGGGCTCAGGCAATCCACTCACCTCAGCCTCCCAAAGGTGCGGGATTACAGGCTGAGCCACCGAGCCTGGTTTACAGCTTACGTTGTAATAAAAATATACTATTTGAGGTATTGGGACTTGAATTAGTTATATTTTAACTGCTTTTCTCCTAAAATGTATATAACATTTAAAATTCCAGTTCTTTTTAAAGATATAGTCATTCATAGGTCACATGAATAAGGTGACAGTGTCCTCATGAATTATTTGGTGAGTAGTCAAACAGTTTTTAATCAAATTGAATTTTATCTGTATAGAGTGCATCAAATAGGGACAGACCAATCAGTGCTTGATTTTCTTTTAAACTGGAGTATTGTTTCTGTGTGTATATTCCTGAACCCTTATGTAGTAGTTTAGTTTGAGTTAATAGCAAAACCAAAATGGCAAATCTGGGTGATAAAAAAGCAAAAATTAAAGCTTATATTCAGAAAGACCTTATCAGCTATAAAACTAAAATTTATATTGTGTTTTATTTTTAGAGGAAGAGGAGAAAAACAGAAAGTGTTCTCCTGAAGAAATTCAGAGAAAACGACAAGAAGCAATGGTTCGGAGAAGGGCCAAAGCACGAGCATCGTCTGTAAACACAGCTCCCACTTAATTTCTTTAATGAAATAGTAGTTGGAGACTTCACAAAGACTGTTGATAACTATCTATGATAGGAATTTTTTAAAAAATTTCTCTGTGAGAAATGTAATGCTGGCTTATAAAGCATGGACTTCTTTAATAAATCAGTGTTTGAAATGGTAAATAAAACTTTTCTTTGGAAATTTATATGAAAGTAGTTGCATAAAAGTTTCAGAAATTCAGGGAAGTTAGCAATTATGTACTAAAATGATACAAAGAAAAGCAATGATGTTTTTAAATACTATAGTTGCAGAGGGTCATAAAAAAATTAGGTAATCTACTTAATTTTCTGTTGTAATGTATTTTCCTAATACAAAACTTCAACTTACTAAGTTAATAGAGACAGTTTTTATAGTTTTACTAACTGTTGCTTGAAGTTTTTATACATTTCCAAATTTTAATTGATACTTTCATACTTCTAGGAACATGGTAGAAATAAAGGACTTTATGTGTAAAAAAATTATTTTTATTTCTTAGAAAGAGATTGATTTTTAACATTTCTAAAATGTGATATATTTTGGAAACTTTCCATCATGTTTAAGAAAAACACTGATTTAAGAAATTAATTTAGAAGAAGGAAGTAGCAGATTATCTATATAAATAAAGTAGCATAGTCAACATTTAGAACTGGCAGAAACTTAAGATGTCATCTGGTCCAGCTTCTTTATTGTATAAATTATAACAATACTGTTCCTTTCAAAGTCACTAGAAAGGTAATGCTATGCAAAGATTAGAATGATTCATTTGGACACCTAGACAGTTATACCATCTGCTTCAAAGTATTTATAAAATAACTTGTTTGAGAGAACATTGTTTATTTTATAAAACAAAAGTATAATTAAAAGCACATTAAGGGCAACCCTCTTTCAGGACCCCTCCCGCTGCTGGGGGCTTTCCTATCACCTAATAAATTCCTCCTTACTCAAAAAAGGAAAAAAAGTGCATTAAGGACTTTAATAATAATGCTCATTGGTTATTTTGTTTAATAAAATCTTTTAAGGATATAAAAATGAGAGTCTTTTTTCAGTTTTCCTATAGCTATATGTTTCCCCTCAATTTAATTACTTTACTAATTTTTCTTCTCTATCCCTTTTTTTTTAACTTTTGCCTTCTTGAAATTTGCTAAGCCAGTAATAGAAATCTAACCAGGGCATAAGGCAGTAAGGATGCTTTATTCCTCCTAAATGGCTTTAGGAGATCTAGGGGAAATGAGAGATACGAAATACCTATCAAGACATGGTGTTTGTCACTATTCAGGTGTCTTAGAGCTAAGATAATATGGTAGTTATTGCTCTGTATGTATAATGCACATACTCCTGCATGTACCGTGGAGTTACATCCAGTAAACCCATCATGAGTGGATAATAAGTTAAAATGAATTGCTTAATCTGCCAAATACCCAGATTAGGCTACCCTGTCTTAAACATGCTCAGAACACTTACATAAGCCTACATTTGGGCAAATCATCTGGCAAAACAGTACACTGTAGAGTATTAGTTGAACTGCTGCTCAGCATCACGATGACATTATCATACCACATACCTCTAGCCTGGCAAAAGATGAAAATTGAAAATTCAAAGTACGGTTTCTACTGAATGTATATCACTTTCATACCATCTTGAAGGTGAAAATTTTTAAGTGGAGCCATTGTAAATTGGGAGCTATTATTAATATTTTGTAAATGGTATTTTAATATATATAGTAGAGTAACAGATTTTAGCTAACCTACATTATTTGTCTAAGAATATATAACAAAGAACCTAAATAAGTGCAAGAAGTTTCTATGTAAGAAAATAAAGAGCTGAGAGTTTTTTGTTGTTTTTTTTTGATGTGCCTTTTGCTGTGTTGACCATGCTTTGGCTATGTCTGTCTTTGGTTAAGCTCCTTTCACTTACTGCTTGCTTCTTTTAGAGTGCTTTCAGCCTATTCTGTCCATTCATTTAGATAGCCCAGGAAGTCTCAGTTTCCTTGAATCTCCTATCTGACCAACTTCGCTGGAATTGACTTCTCTCTGATCATGATGACAATACTTCTTGTATCTTTCATGGGGCAATTCTATAACGCCTTATGTGTTGTTCAGTTCATTATATCTCATAGTATTTTATATCTGTTATTTTGTGTGTCTCAAAATTCTGCCATTTATAGCTTGTAGTGTTATTTATATTATAGAAAATGACTACCTTTCTCTTTAAAAGGAAGCTTTATAGCACTTCTGAGTGCTGGGGGATGTAGTGACCCAGCACATTTGAACCCGACCATGATTGGGTTTTTAGGGTTACTTTTGCTGTTCATTTTACTCTCCTTTCATATCCTGATTCTTCTTCCTTTAACCCTTGGCAACAGTAGGGATCGAATGAGCATGCAGAGGACTGTTTACAGAATCTGCCTAACTTGGCTCTTTCCAATCTGTAGAGAATCTATCTCAACAAGAGGAAGAGGCAACTGGTCCGTCTGGCAAGTTCCAGCTTAAGTTCCACTGCTGTTTCTGCATCTCAGAAAGACTGATGACAATAATACCATTATCGCAGAAAAGAGCTTAATGTAGAGTAAAACCTACCTCTCACTGCTCTTTTCCTGTTGTGGATAGATGACCCCGAGCCCAGGAACACTTGGATTGCTAGTTGCAGACACAGTCCATTGAATGCAGACTGATAACAACACTATGGGAAACACTGTCTTACATCATACACAACCAATTATCACCATCTTTTAAGTTAACCAAGAACAGATATAACTTACTTATCTCTGTATACCTGATACTGATAGTGTAAACCCAGTAAATGTTGAATGAATTTAGACAGAATCTGGTGGCAGACATTCTGCCTTCTCACACTTGAAACAGTTTGGTTCATTCGTCAGCGCTAGGGTTGAGGATTGTTTCTAAGAACAATTTAAATTTAGCCTAACATTGATTTGAATGATAATTTATATTTAAACTTTGAAACCATGGATTTCAATTCTTGCCAGCAATGATAATCACCTGAGATTCAAAAACGAAACACTATACTTGTTCCTTTACTTAGACCTCATAAGTGAATATTTGTAGGGATCGATCTCATTTGTGTCTTAAAAATACATCGGCCAATAGCAGGCACTGTTGAAGAGAATCAGCCAATAGCAGGCACTATTGAAGAGAAATAATTGCTAAGCATTGCTGAATGTTGTAGTTACCAAGAATGTTTTTAAACACTTTAACAATATTTGACTTACTGTCTTCTCAGGACACCATGTAAAGTAAAACTTTTACCCCCATTTTTTTTACAAGTGGGGAAAGTAAAGTAAGCATATTAATTGACCTCAAAAATCACACTATGAGAAGTTGGAGCTGGAGTTGGGATCCAAATGGTCTTAATTTCAAATACTGTGATCTTAACCATTGAATGTACTCTTCTTATTCAGAAAAAAATTTGTAAGAACCAGTGATCTATGGAAATCATCTATTTGTACAAGAAAAAATTAAAGCATTTTAGACATGTGTGCCAAAAATATGACTATTCTATAGGTCTTTTAATTTTACAGCTCAGGAGAAGGTTTCAAATCCCAACTTATGTTTTAGATGACTGTGTGGGTGGGTAGGTGTTGATTATATTAACCCACATAGAGGATGCCTTTTTTTTCATTAAACTATTAAACAGAAGAATAGAGAACTACATAAAATGAAGAGCTATTTTTTAAATGCCTTAATTTTACTTCATTATTTTAGTAACTTCTGGATGTCCTGCTTTTAAATCTATTGGGGAAAATTTAATTTCCTAGTCCAAGATACAATGACATGCCTCAAGCTGCTAATAAAACTTTAGTTCAGGTAATACTCATATTCAAACAGCTTTAGGGCCTTTTTATATTCAAGTTGAGCACTCCAAAAAGCTTGCTTATGTGGATTTTATCTACTAGCCTTTACCATATTAGGTGTGATGTTTATTAATACATGTAAATACTAATAAACCATTAAATGTTAACAAACATGCCTCTTATGAAATGTAAGTTTTCTAAAATAAATTTGAGAAAAAATAGCATTGTTTTTAATTTGGTAAATCTTTGATATCTGACTTTATAGAAGATAGCTTTCTCATATGTTTCTTCATTTAATTTGTTACATTTTTGTTATAGATGAAATGTACAAAGAAAGTCCAATCTCACACAGGTATGTAGTTGGAAAAGAATAGTCTTTTCAGATAACTATGATTATTCTTTTTTTTTTTTTTTTTTTTTTTTTAGTTGGAGTCTCACTCTGTCACCCAGGCTGGATTACAGTGGCACACTCACGGTCACTGCAGCCTTGACCTGCTGGGCTCAGGCAATCCTTCTGCTTTAGCCTTCTAAGTAGCTGAAACTACAGGACCGTACCATATTCTTCATTTCTAATTGTGTTTATTCAAATTTTCCTCTTGTTAATCTGGCCAATGGTCTGTCAATTGTATTTATCCTTTCAAAGAATCAACTTTTTGTCTCATTGATCCCTTGTGTGATTTTTTAATTTTTATTGTTTGGTGTCTCTTGCATTTAACTGTGACTTTATTTTAATAATTTTTCATTTTTCTGCTCACTTTGGAATTCGATTGCTCTTGTCTTTCCAGCTCCCTTAGGTGCACCATTACACTGTTTACTTGGGAACCCTCTATTTTTGTGATATGTGTATAATATTATAAACTTGCCTCATCACAGCTTTCATGGCATTTCAGAAGTTTTGATGTGTTGTGTCTTGATTTTATGTGTTTCTGAGTCTTTATATTCCTGCCTTGATTTCTGTGTTAACCCAAAAGTCATTCAGAAGAATTTTGTTTAATTTCCATGTATTTTTGTGTTTGGGGGGGGGGGTTCCTGTTGGTGATATTTATTACTTCACTGTAGTCTGAAAAGATGCTTGGTATGATTTTGACCTTTTGAAAAGTGTTCATGCTTGATTTATTTCCAAGTATGTGGTCAATCTTGAAGCATATTCCATGTGCTGATGAGAAAAATGTATATTCTGTTGCTGCTTGGATGAAGTGTTTTGTTAAATATCTATTAAGTCCAATTGGTTGAGTGTCAAGGTTATGAATTTCCTTGTTAGTTTCTTGCCTTGATGATCTGTCTAAGGGTGTTAGTGGGGTATTAAAGTGTCTGACTATAATTGTTTGGCTA